TATACAATAAAAAAAAAAAAAATTATCAAATAGACAATTAAGAAAATAATACCGACACTTATAGGAATCACCATCGTACTTTTCCACTTTCTCTAGATGAGAAATAGTTTCATCATCATTCATAGAGGTGATGTCTACTTTATTAGGATTCTTCTCAGTTAACACATAAGAAACATTGAGAAAACTTAAGTAGAAAAGTAATTTACCCTTCCATCTTTTGAAATGGTTACCATTTAACCGAAATGGCTTGTTAAAGTCTCTCATCTTGACATCCACGGTTTTTCAATTATAGTCATTATTGAATCTCCTTAAAATTGTTAGTAAAAAACTATAGAATAACAGAATTACAAGATTACAATTGAAAATAAAATGAAGAAATAAAAATCTCTTCAGGCTGAGGCGCGGATATCTCGCTCTCTTTAAGGTGATTCAAGTCCACTGCAACAAATGTTTTTCACCAGTCTAGCAATACTCCTCTTGACTTGTCCCCTCCAAGATACAACAGCTTAATCACAAAGTGTAACTCAACAAACTCTGGACAAGAGTTGAGTTCAAAGCTCCACAAAAAGAACACCTCCCTTCAATTAATAAGAACTCTCTTTTTGACAAACTTTATGCACTCTATATTTTTCTTATGTATCTAAACCAAATGAAGACCACCACTATTTATACTAGAAGAAGTCTTCCTAGCATTGAATAGGAAGATAATGGGGTAGTAAATATTGAAGATAAATGACCTTAAGAATTACATAGCTTACAAGGTGTAATGGAGAAATAAAAAATGGAATAATAGAGGGGGGTAACCAATGCCTCTAAACTTTCCAACGTTCACAACAACGTTCATCACAAAGCATAAATGCAATAAGGCATGTGCTTATTAATTAACCACCAAGTAATTAGTAACAAATGCACATCCATTGCAGCAATGATCCAGTAGATGCTCCAACGAATAGAATAAACATTGTTAATGTGTTCATTCCAAGGTAGAAGATAATATAATATTAAAATGCCTACACTAACAAATTATAGAGAATACTCGTGTAATCCTGCAAACATTTCACATCACTGAAATAGTTTCTTAGGACAGTGCCCAACACGACTCAAGTATTAATTTTCTATACTAATATCTAAATATCATTTTAGTAATATTTATCTTATTTTATTTTACTAAATAATATTATATATTATTATTGTGAAATTTTAATTATTCCCCAACAAGGAAAACCGGGGAATATTTGTCTGGCACGCACTAATCTTTGGTGATGCAGAATTTCCTCTACTTGTATTGACAGGGAGGTGCCCCTTATTCAGGATGGGACTACAGTACCACTAGAACGTGTGGTCATCCCTTGAGGAGTTGGCTTAGAGGACTCTGGAGGAGGTGTGAGAGTTCATTCAGCGGGTGAGATGTTTTCGCAGCATGCACCTTAAGTGATATGCAGTACTGGTAGACCGATCGAGGAGATGGACGGGCCATTCAATTTCTAGGCGATCACCATTGATAATCTAGAGATTGAAATGCGTTGACTTGTAGGCCAGCATCCCCTCTTATCAAAGATAAACTGGAGGTATATATCTCATGACTCTCATCATTCAAAGAAGGAAAAGAGGATCTTTTCATCAATAACTCAGCATATTAGGCAGAACATAGACCAGCGCTGATGATAACTGTTGCAGAAGGAAACAGATATTGTGTTTGAAGAAATAATTAAGGAGACATTTTCAATTTCTAACGAACTAACTGGCAACTTAATTGATTCGTTTTCTATAGTTGTATGTATGTATATATGCAGGGAATTAGGATCGAGAAAATGAAGGAGAATGGGAACAAACGGCCAGTGATCAGTCATAGGGTGTGTTTGGTATGAAGGCCAATTTTCTCACGTTTGGTTGGGTTAAATATTTGAAAAATGTTTTTCCAAATCAACTCATTTTTCTCAAATTTAAGAAAAATGACTTCCCTTCAAAACTTAGGAAAACATTTTCCAAACTTCTCTTCCAACTTCAAATTACAATTACTTTTTTGTTGAAAAAATCAATTTATTTTGTCTCTACCCTCAAATCAATCCCCCAACCAATCCCCCCTTTCAAAAAAATAATAATTTTAAAGCTTATTTTTAAATTCAATTTTTTTACCCCACCTCACCCCTACCCCCATCCTCTCCCAAAAAAATATTAAAAATTATTTTTAAAAGATATTTCTAATTTCAATTTTTTATTTTTT